TTTGTATCACCTTTATTTTAGAGTCACATGTTTGTGGCTAAATGAACAAGTCTGCATTGGTGTGGGGTTGGTACCAGGGATTGAACTCAGGGGCTCTGGACTACTGAGCCACATCCCCACCCTAGTTTGTATTTTATTTAGAGTCAGGGTCTCACTGAGTTCCTTAGCACCTCGCTGTTACTAAGGATGGCTTTGAACTTGTGATCATCCTGCCTCAGCCTCCTGAGCAGCTGGCATTACAGGCATGCACCACCACACCTGGCAATTCTGTATTTTCTAAAGGTCTAGAGAATACACATCCATTAGGTGCCTCTCCTCTTTCCCTATGCATTTGTCATTTTGGTGTATTATTGCAAGATGGCAGTTCTGGCATCCCTGTCTTGTTCCTGTTTTTAGAGGGAATACTCTAAATTATTCTCCATTTAGAATGATGTTGGCCTGGGAATTAGCATAGATAGCTTTTACAATGTTGAGATATGTTCCTGTTATCCCTAGTTTTTCTAGTGTTCTGAACATGAAGAGGTGCTGTATTTTGTCGAAAGCTCTTTCTGCATCTATTGAGATGATCATATGGTTCTTATCTTTAAGCCCATTGATGTGATGAATTACATTTATTGATTTCTGTATGTTGAACCAACCTTGCATCCCTGGGATGAACCCCACTTAATTGTGGTGCATGATCATTTTGATACATTTTTGTACTCGACTTGCCAGAATTTTATTGAGAATTTTTGCATCTATGTTCGTTAGAGATATTGGTCTGAAGTTTTCTTTATTCGATGGTTTTGGAATCAGGGTGATATTGGCCTCATAGGATGAATTTAGAAGTGCTCCTTCTTTTTCTTTTTCCTGAAATAAATTTAAGAGTATTGGTATTAGTTATTCTTTAACAGTCTTGTAGAACTCATCCAGTCCTGGGCTTTTCTTGGTGGGATCTGATGGTGTCTTCTATTTCTTTTCTTGAAATTGATCTGTTTAAATTATGTATATCATTGTGATTCAATTTGGGCAAATCATATGACTCTAGAAATTTGTCAATGCCTTTGATATTTTCTATTTTATCGGAGTACAAGTTTTCAAATTAATTACTAATTATCTTCTGTAGTTTTGTAATGTCCGTTGTGATATTTCCTTTTTCATGACATATGTTAGTAATTTGAGTTTTCTCTCTCCTTCTCTTCATTAGTGTGGCTAAAGGTTTGTCAATTTTATTTATTTTTTTCAAAGAACCAACTTTTTGTTTTGTCAATTTTAAAAAAAATGTTTCTTTTGTTTCAGTTTCATTGATTTCAGCTCTGATTGTAATAATTTCCTGCCTTCTACTGGTTTTGTTTCTGATTTGTTCTTTTTTTTCCTAGGGCTTTGAGATGTGACATTAACTCATTTATTTGTTGACCTTTTCTTCTTTTAAGGAATAAACTCCATGCAATGAACTTTCCTCTTAGTACTGCTTTCATAGTGTCCCAGAGACTTTGATACATTGTATCTGTGTTCTCATTCACCTCTAAGAATTTTTTAATCACCTCCTTGATGTCTTTTGCAACCCATTGTTAATTCACTAGCGTATTATTTAGTCTCCAGGTGTTGGAAGAGCTTTTATTTTTTATTTTATCATTGATTTCTAATTTCATTCCATATCACCTGGTGGAGTGCAGGGTAGTATCTCTACTTTTTATATTTACTAATAATTGCTTTGTGGCATAATATATGATGTATTTTAGAGAAGGATCCATGAGGTGCTGAGAAGAAAGTGTATTCATTCATTGAAGAATGAAATACTTTATATATGTCAATTAAGTCTAAGTTATTGATTGTACTATTGAGCTCTATAGTTTCTTTTTTTAGATTTTGTTTGGAAGATCTATCCAGTGGTGAAAGAGGTGTGTTAAAGTCACCCAGAATTATTGTGTTGTCGTCTATTTGACTCTTGAACTTGAGAAGAGTTTGTTTGATGAACGTAGACCCTCCATTGTTTGGTGAATATAAATTTATTATTGTTATGTCTTGTTGATGAATGATTCCTGTAAGCAGTATGAAATATCCTTCTTTATCCCTTTTGATTAACTTTGGTTTGAAGTCAACTTTATTTGATATAAGGATGGAAACCCCTGTTTGCTTCCACAGTCCATGTGAGTGGTATGATTTTTCCCAACCTTTCACCTTCAGTGTGTGGATGTATTTCCCTATGAGAGGAGTCTCTTGGAGGCAGCATATTGTTGGGTCTTTTTTAAAAATCCAATCTGCCAGTCTATGTCTTTTGATTGGTGAGTTTAGGCCATTAACATTCAGGGTTATTATTGAGACATGATTTGTATTCCCAGCCATTTTTGGTGTTTAACTTGACTTGGTTTCTCCTTTGATTAGCTTTTCCTTTAGTGTAATACCTCCTTTTGCTGATTTTCATTATTGTTTTTCAATTCCTCTTCACAGGGTATTTTTGCCAAGGATGTTCTGTAGTGCAGGCTTTCAAGTTGTAAATCTTTTAACTTTTGTTTATCATGGAAGGTTTTTATTTCATCATTAAATCTAAAGCTTAATTTCTCTGGATATAAAATTCTTGGTTGGCATCCATTTTCTTTCAGAGCTTGATATATGTTGTTGCAGGATCTTCTAGATTTCAGGGTCTGGGTTGAAAAATCTGCACATAATCTAATTGGTTTCCCTCTATATGTAATCTGATTCCTTTCTCATGTGGCTTTTAATATTCTCTCCTTATTCTGTATATTAAGCATTTTCATTATAATGTGATGTGGTGTGGATCTGTTGTAATTTTGTACATTTGTTGTCCTGTAAGCCTCTTGAATTTGATTTTCCAATTCATTCTTCATGTTTGGAAAATTTTCTAATATTATTTCATTGAATAGATTGCTCATTCCTTTGGTTTGGGACTCTATGCCTTCCTCTATCCCAATAACTCTTAAATTTGGTCTTTTTATGCTATCCCATATTTCTTGAAAGTTCTGCTCATGGTTTCTTACCATTTACACTGTGTGGTCTATGTTCTTTTCAAGATTAAATATTTTGTCTTCATTGTCTGAGGTCTTATCTTCCAAGGGCTCTAATCTGTTGATGATGCTTTCAACTGAGCTTTTAATTTGGTTTATTGTTTCTTTCATTTCAAGGATTTCTTTTTTTTTTAGAACCTCTATCTCTCTATTTTGCTTCCTGTATTTATTTATGTATCTCTTTGTCAAAATGATCCTTTGTTGCCTGTATTTGCTCTCTTATATCATCCTTTAATTCACAGAACATTTTATTATGTACATCCTTAACTCCTTCTCTGTCATTTCTTCTGTGCTGGCCATGGACTCTAATAATGTGGTATTTTGATTTGTTTGGGCACTGTCTTCCTTTGTCTTTTCATATTGCTGTGTGTCTTCCCTGCTAGCACTGTGGATCTGTGGTGTTACCGTTTTTACCCTATAGGCTTATAGTGCCCCTGAAGGGTTTCAATACCTCTCCTTTGAGGTGAAGGACAATGTTAACAGATTACAATATAAACAATATACCACCCCAAAACAAACGTTTGCTATTAAGACTTTTACAGTTTGGTCACAATGTACAGAAATGGTGAATTCAATTATTATCCATAATATACTCAGTAGGTTTGTAAAAGTGTTTACAATTTCTGATGGTGGACAAAGAACCAGGGGGTGTGGAGTAGGATGATATGTTGAGCAAATAGGAGGTGAAGATATAGAGTTATTATATGTTAGGAAGACTGAAAGAGAAATCTAAAGAGGAAGATTAGTAGCAGGAGAAGAGAGAGGAAGTAACTTTGGGTAGAGAAGTAAGTGGGAAGACAATAGAGTACTGAAAGCAAACACACATATATATTAAGAAAAATAAAAAGGCTAAATTAGTAGAAATTGGTGGAAAAAAAGAGAGAAAAAAACAAACAAAAAAGAACATACAACACAACTGTAATATACTATTCCAATGTCCCAGTCCTTACAATCTTAATTCATGCAAAGTACTTGGTTTCAATATGTTGGGGAAGTGAGGGTGGGAGAATAGAGGGAGAAGAAAAAAAAAAACTCTTAGGGCAGAGACAGGGATTGATTTGGTTGAAGATCAGTAACTTTTCTGCTTCCCTTCTCATCCAATAGGTGGGGTCATCTGTTGTTAGCTGTATCTCCACCCTTAGGATGGTGAAGGTAACCAGGGTGTCACTGTGCTGGGCTAACCAGGGTGTTACTGTGCTGGGCTAGTGGCTGCTGGGGAGACGGGGGAGTTAGAAACTGGGTACCTGGCCAGCTGGAGTTTCAAACTTGGAGCTGCCCCCACTGAAGATGGTGTTGAAGGTGGCCCAAGATGGAGGCTCCTGCTTTCAGAGGTGGGGTGTCAGGTTGGGCAGGGGAGCCCGGTGATGGTGTTGGAAAAGTTCAGAGAGGAGCTCTGTGGTGTGCAGTGTGTGGCTGCTGGCTGACTTCAGAGCCTGTGTGACATTCTCAGGTGCAGGCAGGTGACTGTGCATAAGGGGCCTATCTGCGCTGCTGTAGAGTACCAAGATGGCGGTGAACCAGGGAGCCCCACGTTGGTAGATAAGGGTCCACAAGGGAGTGGCAGCTGGAGTTCCTGCATGTGAGAAGCTGCTGGGTGTCCTGTGTGGGAGCAGCATCCTAGATTTCTGCTCGGGTGGTGGCTGAAAGTTCTGAGGGGGGTGCTGCCACCAATGGTCCCGCTGGGGCACCAGGTAGTCCTGTGTGGGCGAGAGGTTGGGAGACCTACTCTGAGCTGAGGCCTGGGGCCCTGGACAGGCACGGTGACTGCAGGAGCAGGAATATCCCTTGCAGAGAAGCAGTATTCTCACTTCTTGAGTCCCAAGTCACAGAATGCTGCCCCCTCTGGCCCGCCATCTTGGATCCTGCAGCATAGTCTGTAATTTGATGGATCTGAGCTTGGCTGTGAGCCTGCCTCTAATTGGCAGAAATTTAACCTTTCCAAGGCAATTCTCTTGGCTTCTTTGGGGAGTGAGTCTCCTCACCTATAAAATGGAGATAATGCATTTTACCTCACAGATGGTTGTGAGGACATAAGGAAATACTCTATGCTAATTGTATAAAGCCTAATTAGACACATGACTTATGGTTACATGTTTGAAACTATTTTTTCCTTTCTCTTTTTTCTAAATTGATCTTAGGCCCTACGTATACTGTAAAAGAATAGCAATGGGTTTAGGGTGCCTCTAGTTCTGGACTCAAACACTAGCTCAACAAACCATTAGTGGGTGACTTTCAGCAAGGTTTCTCCCAGCCTTCTTCACCTATATAGCTGGCTTCTTCAGAGAGTTGTTGTGAAGATTGTACTGTACACATTATTATTATATAAAATTATATATATATACACACACACACACACATACACACAAGTAAGGAATAAGATCAGATGATTTACAGTGGGCAAACCCTGAATAGCAAAAATTGTATAAATATATAATAAAAATCAGAAAAAATGCAATTGAAAATCATACGATATGATTGCACATCTACTAGATTGGCAGTACAATAAAAGTCTGATTGTATTAAAGTGAGAAAGAACATATGTAATTATCTTATACTGCTGGCAGGAATGTAATTTGGAACCATTGTGTTAAAGAACAATTTTTGCATTGTCTCTGGTAAGGTTGAAAGTGTTCAATTCAGTAAAGCTATTTGTAGAGTAACAGTTTTTAGATATTTTTGTCAGTGACTCACCAAAATGAATAAATTTTCCATTGCATCTCAGAACAAACAGAAGCACGTGCACACACATATATACCTAAAGTAAATGTTTCCTGAAAAAATACTGATAATATATTAGGAGAGAAAATATATCATGATGTGTGACAATATAACTCTGGAGCTAAAATCCTAAGTTTAAATTCCAGCTCCACCATTTGTTAGCTTGACCTTGGCAATTCACTCACTTTATTGTGCCCCAGTTTCTTCATCAGTAAAGTAGAAATCATAGCCTAACTGTGCTTCAATTTTCTAACAGGTAAAATGAGATTTTTATGGGGATTAACTGAGTTAATTCATATAAAGCACTCAAAAGAGGACCTGGCATAATGTAGCTACTAGATGTAGGTTAGTTTTGATTACATTTGATCCAAGCTGCACACCCCACAAAGCGAAGTCTCAGCCTGATGCGACAGTTCCAGCCTTATGAGCTGTGGAGGGGCAGCCAAGAAGCTCTTCTGTCCTCTGTATCCACACCATTCCTCCTTTCTCTCTGAACCCCTTCTCTGACTTCTGACTGAAAAACCAGCCTCTATCTCAGAGCAAAGCCTGTCCAAGGAAGGGACATGACCTTAGTCCTTGGAAAGACCCACAGAGCACTCCTAAGCACATTCCCACCCTGCTGAGTTGTTTATCTACAAATAACAGGAGAGATCTGCTGTGCCAGGTGTCCCTGACTCAGTCAGGCTAGGTGGGGATCCATAGCAGCCCCCTAGCAGCCACCAATCAGCATGAGACAGGGAAATACCTGGGATGCCAGTGGTTTATGGTGGTTGATAACAAGTTGGGAAACCATGTAGTTCAGCACGTACACCCCTCTTGGCTCAAACCAATCAGTTCAAACGAATACCCCTTTTGTACTGACCAATCACCCCTACCCAACTTGTTCCCGCCAGTGAATGTGCTATTCTTGTTTTAGAGTTGTTATTTGATTTTCCCGTGGTGTGTGATGATTTGCTAAGGGATGCTATGATGTATGTGAAGTCCCTGCCCTCTCCAAAGAATGTATAAAACTGCTGCAAACCCTGGGCTCGGGGCCTCTCAGCGTCACCAGTTGCTGTGTGTGCGCGCGGAGGACCGAGCTAGCTCGCAATAAACACCTCTTTGCTGCTTACATCGATCTCGGGTCTCTGGTGGTCTTTGTGTTACCGCTGTTGACCGGTGACGAGTCCTTGCTTCCCCAATGTTGAAGAATAACACCAAAGAAGCACGCCGAGGCAAGGTCAGAGTAGAAATTAGAAGTTTATTAAAGGACAGCAGAAAAGACTTCTCCTGGAGGAAGAAGGGGACCCAAGAGGTGGAATCCGTGGAGGTGCGGTTGTCTCTCCATTTTATAGTTTCTTTCAGTGATGGAATGTAGGTGGGAAGGCCTGAGGGGTGGGACACAGGTGGGCCAAAGAAGTAGTCTGAGCAGGAAGGACTTCATTAACACTTCTTTGGGATGGACTTTGGCCTAGGGCCTTTTCAGGACTTCATTAACATTCCATGAGTTGTCCTGAGTTTCCTGGAATCATTCTCAGCACGGCCTCCATTTTAGATTTCACTCGGTATTAGACCCGATTTACCTAATTATACTGACTACCTAACTTTAAATCTGGCTTCATTTGGGGGTCCTGAATTCGAGCATAACATGACATTTCTTTGTCATTTGACCTCTGCCTTTTACACACTTAAGCATCCTATCTTCCTATTCAACATAAATGATAAAATAATAGGTTGTCAGAACAACTAATGAGGGGTCAGTCTGGGTCTGTAGGGTTTGGAGCATGGTTTTTGTCCATGTCAGTGGTTTTGAATTGGGGCTGCATCTGTCAGCAATATTTCCCTTTAAGTAGCCATGTCTTTTAAGTAGCAGGAATCTAATACAGGATCAAAGCAAGTACAAAGATAAAACATATTACACAGGAAAGAACAGGATTAGGTTTTTAATTCCTGGTTCTTTTTTTTAATATTTATTTATTTATTTTTTTAGTTTTCGGCGGACACAACATCTTTGTTTGTATGTGGTGCTGAGGGTCGAACCGGGGCGCACGCATGCCAGGCGAGCGAGCTACCACTTGAGCCACATCCCCAGCCCCAATTCCTGGTTCTAATGAGATCGGGGATGATACCGGTGTTGAAAATCACATCTGGATCCCATTTCCTGGTGTGGAAGATTGAACACCTGAGAAATGCTGAGCCAAGAGTAAAAAAGTTTTATTTAAAGGATAGAACATCCTCTGCAGAGGAGGAGGTCCAAGTTGGTGCCTAAGGGAATGGAGGTATCCTGGCTCTTTTATAGATTTTAGATTTCCTTTATTCTCATCCTCCTCTGCATCCTGCCATAGGACCTCAAAGGTGGAGTGATCCAAGGTTCAAAGGAAGCCACCAAGGGGTACAGGCAGGAAGGGACCACCCAGGGACTACTCATTAACAACCCCTTGCTGGGAGGAACAATTCCCTGGAGACAGGTAACTTTGGCTACAGATTGGAGGAGGGGGAAGTGTTCTGGAAATATTAGCACTTTATTTCCTTTGAATCAGCCCCCATCTTCCTGACCCAATCATCTTCCTGACCCAATCTACACTGACTGTTCTTTGGCCCCAGCCTCATTACCATTTTGGGACTGTTGATTTGGGTTTTAATTCCTGGTTCTACCATTTTGAGACTGTTGCTTAAACTTTTTATATCTCCATTTTCTTAACTGGAAATTGGGTATATTCCTTACTTTCCAGGATTATGATGATATCCAAATGAAGTAATGTATATAATGTGTCTGCATCTAGATAATCTTCAATGAGTGGTGTTAGCTTTCATCACTGTAACCAAAACACCTGACAAAAACAACTTAAAGAAGAGATTTATTTTGACTCAGAGTTTCAGACATTTCAGCCAATTCCATTGCTGTGGGCCTAAGGTGATATGGAACATCTAGGCAGGAGGGAATGGCAGAGGAAGGCTCTTCAGGAAAGACAGAGGGAGGAAGGGGAAAGAGACAAGCTATACTTCCCAGGGGCATGTCCCCCGTGACCTCCTTTTCCAACTATGCCCACCTGCATGCAGATTCTACCCCCTCACAGTAGACCATTCAGCTATCAATAGATTAATCCACTGATAGGATCAGAGCTCTCATGATCCAAGCACTTCCAAGAGCTCCACCTCTGCACATTGCTGCACTGGTGACCAAGCCTTCAACACATGAGCTTTTAGAGGACATTTCAGGATTGAACCATAACAAAGGGCAAATTCTTGTCATTAATAACCTGCAATTCTAAATTTTACGTAAAATGTAACTGCGTGAAAGAAATATCTGCTCAGCCCCCTTCTAAAGTTCACCAGAAACTTTATTCCATCTCTTTACACATCAAGCCTTCAGGAAACTCTCTTGGATAAATAGGTCCACTTTCTTATTTTCAGAAAAGACCCCCCAACCCAACCCCATTCTTATTACCAGAATTGATAGGATTTGACATGATTATTTCCTGAAAATGGCTCCCTGGTCCTCCCAAAGTATGCTACTATGCCCACCCCCCAGAAGAGGGCACCAAGTGTCCTTATGACCTTGTTGTTGGGGTTGGGGGTGGAAGTGCAGGTGTGAGTTGTAGGTGGGTAGGATGGGATCCACTAAGGGGTATTTACCAGCCCTCCATGGTTTAGAAAAAAAATAGCATGTGAGGAACCTAACGGTATAAATCACAATTTAGGAGGTGGTTATTGGAACAACAAAAGGGGTTCCTGGCACAACAAAATGGGTCAGTCACCACAAGATGCTCAGAGCAGCAAGAACCCGTAATGCACAGTGTGGGTTAATTTGTCCTTTCCCTTTTTCAAACCCAACATGTGGGACAAACTGGGATTATGTATTGAATTTACAAAAAATAGAATTGTATTTAATTTTTGAGACGGTGGCTATCATATTAAGTACACGTACATGATGGAATCCTTCTTTTACATGATTATAATTTATGTTTTCTTGCAACTGTATTCATTCAACAGGTGTTCAGGATGCAGGCCCTGATCCAGACAGCCGGGTTCAGATACTCACTTGACCATTTAACTAGCTTGGCGATTCTCTGTGCCTCAGCCTCTTCATCTAATATCAAGGATAATAATAGCACCAAGTAAGAGGGCTGTTGTGAGGATGAAATGAGTTCATGCATGTAATAAGAATGCTGAGTTCTAGGTACTCTGCCCAACCCTGGATGTATGGAATTTAATAAGACAATTCCTGTGTCTGCAGCACTCCCAGGCATTATACTAGGAACTGGGGTTAGTTGGGGAACACCAAAATAAAATAGTTCCTATCTGAAGAAGATAGCAAACCTGAATAGGGATATAATAGATAGGAAACATTTTCCATAACCATGACATTTCCTCTGATTACTATTCTCAGTTCTTGAAAAATGGGCCTATTTCCTAGTCATGTTTTATTTTTCTTTCTTTTTAAATGTTATTTTTAGTCATTGATAGACCTTTATTTTATTTATTTATATGTGGTGCTGAGAATCAAACCCAGTGCCTCACACATGCCAGGCAAGTGCACTGCCTCTGAGCCTGAACCCCAGCCCTCATGTTTGATTTTTCAAAATTCCTTTCCCATAAAACAAAAGAGTAGGTGTTACGGTTTAGATGTGAGATGTCCCCCAAAAGCTCATGTGTGAACCAGAGCAAGAAAGTTGAGAGGTGAAGTGATTGGGTTATGAGAGTCTTAACCTAATCAGTGCATCAATCCTCTGATAGGTATGGTAACTGTAGGCAAATTGGGTGTGGCTGGAAGAGATGGGTCATTGGAGCATGGCTTTGTGGTTTTTATTTTGTCCTTGGTGAGGGGGCTCTTTCCCTTTTCTTCCCCTCCCTCTCCCTTCTCCTGTAATGTCCCACTCTTCCACCATAATGCCCTGCCTCACCTTGGGTCCTCAAGATCAGAGTGAGAATTCTGAAACTGTGAGCCCACAAATAAACATTTCCTCCTAACATTGTTCTTGCCAGGTCTTTTGTTCATAGCAGCAAAAAAGGTGACTAAGATAGTAAGGTATATTTTATGAAAATATTTATTGACTTGGCACTGATTGGGCTACGTCATGTTATATGTTATATCTCAAGCTTCATATCAAATCTGTAAGTGTTGTTATTTTTATTTACAGGTGAGAAAATTGAAAATCAGAAAAGGTATCTGTCCCAAGGTTACACAGCTCATGAATGGTGGACTACACTGAAATTTGGACCCATGGAAAGCTGACCTCAGAGTCCCTCTCCTTGGACAGTGGAGGTTGCTATAGAAGCTGACAATGAGAATTTAGTCCCTTAAAAAGTCACAGTTCCCCCCATAAGATGGTACCAGGAAGATTTCTAAATGTGGGGCTTAAGCATAGGCTTTATAGAATCCAATATCATTCCTATATTATTTATTTTTTTAGGTGTTCAATAAATATCTGTGAAACAAGTGGTTGCAATAGGAACTTATCATTTTTTTTTTTTGCAAAAATTCAGGCTGATGGGCTTTTCTGTTGTTGTTCTTTTTAGTTTTTCATGACAGTAGAGTGTGTGTGTGTATATATATATATATATGTATATTCTATGTATGTATGAATATGAATGCATAGAATATATATCAGTATGCATGTATGCATATTAATACACATACAGAGAGTATAACTTCTTATTTTAGTATAACTTATTCTCTTTAGGATCCCACTCTTTTGGTTGTGCATGATGTGGACTTACCCTGGCCATGTATAAAAATACAAAGTTAGGAAAGTTATGACTGATTAATTCTATAGTCTTTCCTATTCCCCTCCCCTCGTTTCCCTTTGTCTAAGCCAATGGATTTCTATTATTCCCCTTCGATGGGCTAACTCTTGTTGGAAATGTGATACGGCCTCAGAGAAAGCTCTCCTGGATGTTGAGGTAGAGGAAGATCTGAAATAATCACATTCCTCTCTGCTTTCAACTCTATTTTAGAACACTATCAATATTGCCTATATGAAAAAGTCCTGTGACCTTGTCAATCCCTATAGATTCTAGAAGCCCCAGAGAGAGAAAGTGTCCCCTCTCTGCCACTGCTCCCAGCACTTGAAAATGGACAATTTGCCAGCCTCCCTAGCTGAAGACCAGGGCAGGCCTAAGTCAATTGCCAAACCCAATTTGACTTAAAGGAAGTCAAATCAGCCTTACCTCATTGACTGGACACTACAGCACACTCCTCAAGCCTCAGTGGTATGCCAAACATTGTGTTGGGTTCATGATAGTGATCCCAATATAACAAGTAAAAATGGACAAAGGTCCTGAAGATGCAGAAGGCCTATATGGCTGGAGCATAAAGAAGAGAATGGGATGAGATTCCCGATGAGGACAAGTGGGAGCCGGAACACGCGTGGCCTTGTAAAGGATGCTGTTAGCCTTTGGTCTCTTTCTGAAAATTCAGGCAAGGTGGACAAATTAGAAAAAGTGCCACTTCTGGGTGGACATAGCTCCATGTGTATGTGGTTTAGCAGGCAGACGCAGGCTGGCCCCCTTCATGAGGATCTTTGTGTACTGTACCTACTGCATGACAGTATACCATTTGCTACTGCCCTATTTGTCAAGTTTTTGTTCTTCTCTGCCCTAATCACACTGGCCTTCTGGTTTTCCTAATAAACTACATTTCCTGTTTGCTTTTGGGGGGGGGTTGTTTGTTTGTTTTGATTTTGGTTTTTGTAATAGGGGTTGAACCCATGGGTAATCTACCACTAAGCTATATCCTGAACCTTTTTTTTTTTTTTTTTTTTGAGACAGGGCCTAAGTTGCACAGGCTGGCCTTGAACGTGCAATTCTCCTGCCTCAGCCTTCCAAGTAGCCTGAATTACAAAACTACCTATTGCAAGGTAATGTAGATATCTCTGTATAATGTAATGTCATGAAATTTATAGTATACTGTCTCTTCTACCCCAAATACACTCTCCCCGCCTTTCCCACAGGCTTTTATATCTCAACTCAAGCATCACTTCCTTCAGGAAGCCTTCCCTAAGTCCCCAGATTAGATCTAAAGAACATTTGTGGAAGATTTGCAATAAAGTTGCCACTTGAATTGGGTTCTCAATTATGAGTAGGCTTTTGATAGGTGGAGAAAAGATGATATGCTATTAATGGTTCCATTCAGAAAATTCAAAATATTGCCCTGAATTACTAATTTATTTTTTTTGGGGGGGTGGGGGTGAACCCAGGGCCTGGTACATGCTAGGCAAATGTTCTACCCCTGAGCTACACCCTCAGGTCCGTGTCCTAAAAATTTTAAATATGGATTGAAGAGACCCTGAAAGGTTCTCCAGGACTCTTTAAGAGTTGGGCAGCAGTTTTAAGGAGCACATTCAGATACAACAACTCATTCCTATCAGCTGCCGAATATTGGATCCTTTGCACATGTTACTTGATTAATTACAACTAGTACTTATTGGTATTTCTGTTTTGTAGAATGGGAACTGGAGTTAAAATTAGTTAATTGATTTAAACTGATGTGCACTCTGGTCTCCTAACTACACATCCAGGGCTTTTCTCACACCTTGGGGGAGTCTTTGTTTGTCTTTCACAAAATGCTCTAGCCTTGGCTTTCCATCCCGGGTCTCTAGGATTTAGTTTTCCATGTAAGAATAGAGAAATTTTAATCCAAACCATCCCTACAAAAGTTTCCAATAGCATTCCTGGGATTCTTGGGCTGGAGGATCTCTCAAAACTGTGATCTGGAAATAGAACCTTGAAAAGTTTAGCATGAGAGTGTGAAATTTTAATTCTCATCATTGCTTAGAAACCATAGTCACTCCCAGGGCAACCAAAAGAGCTTGCCTACATTTAGGCAAGTAAGCAAACAAGAGCTAAGCATGATATCTCTGAAGAGCCTTTTGACCTTCTCATGGACAGCTTTAGTTTGTGTAGCCATTGGAGTTTTGGGTCATCTCTGGATAATCAAATCATTAGTAAACAATTAACCATATTTCTGACTCTCACTTTCTGGTCCTAGTAGTCATTTATGTCATTTTCAACTTTTATACTAAAGGAAATGACTGGATAACTGACTTCCTGCCTTAGATATAGGGAAGCTAGACTTTCCCCCAAAGTCCTAGAGTTTGGATGCATCATTTCCACTCCATATTCTAGTATATGTCATCTTCCCAGGCAATGGGCATAGCTGAATATTAATAGAACCTGGACCAGAAAACTCAACTCAATACAGGGAAGATATTCTGGATATTTGGGTCAGAGGAGAAAGAGGTTGAGAATGACAAAAAACTATTAGTTGAGAGGGCTGGGGGTTGTGGCTCAGTGGTACAGTGCTTGCCTAGCATGTGTGAGGCACTGGGTTTGATTCTCAGCACCACATATAAATAAACAAAACAAAAAAAGTCCATTGACAACTAAAAACCAAAGAACTAGAAGACAGGAGCTCAAAGCTTCCCAACACAAAGACATGATTAATGTTTAAGGAGATAGAAATGCTAATTGCCCTGATTTGATCTTTACACATGTATCTAATTATCACCCTGCAACCCATACATATGTACAATTATCATGTGTCAATGAAAACTAGAAACAAATAAATCTTTTTAAAAATGTAAAAATAATTTAAAATTAACAAATACTTTTAAACATAAAGATAATTTAAAAATTAAGAAGTAAAAGAAGGTCCGGGGGATATAGGTCAGTAGTAGAGCACTTGTTTAGTATGTGGAAGGCCCTAGGTCCCATTCCCAGCACTGCATACCACACACAAAAAGGCTTCTTCAAGGACTCAGCAGCTGTTTTGCTCTGTAGGTCTGTAGGCCCTGTGTTCCTCTCAAAGCCAGTGTCCACTTTGATGTTAAAAAGGAAAATACCTAGAACTTGGACCTAAGCCAAACACTTGAGACCAATAGTGGGTGGTATATGGAACTTTGAAAAAAAAAAGAATACTCACTTTCTCTCTCTAAACAAATCCTTGACAATATCCTACTGAGTCAGATAAGACTAGGAATGCCTCTTTCTCACTTTTGATTTCTGAGGCCTGGAATAAGTGGGCAGATTGTTATTTCTTTTTACTGTCCATAAGAAGTGTTCCAGGGATGTAGATCAGTGACAGAACACTTTCCTAGTATGCACAAAGCATGGGTTTAATCTCCAGTAACACACACACACACACACACACACACACACAACAGGTTGGATGCTACGGGGCCAGCTTGTGATCCCTAGCAGGTTGGGAGGTTGAGGGAGGAGGATGGCAAATTCAAAACTAGCTTCATCAACTTACTGAGGCCCTGTCTCAGAATAAAAACTAAAAATGCCTAGGGATGTTACTCAGAGTTTAAGCACCCTTGGGTTCAATCCTGGTAAAAAAAAAAAAGTAAATAAGTAAATAAATAAATAAACAAAATAAAAAATAAAGAGAGAAGATTGAGAGAGAGAGAGAGAGAGAGAGAGAGAGAGAGAGAGAGATTGATTTCCTTTCACTACTATTATGTCATGACATCTGGAAAGAGCAGTGTTTACTGGAAGTCAGAATCTGGGACATATCCACTGGGTCATGAGGTTTGGGAGCACAGATTCCTTATCAGCGCTTTTCTGTCTTGAACCTTGAGGTTTAGTGCTGATTTTGAGCCATAATGAAAGTCCAACTCCCCCCTGTCATAGTGAAACTTAAATTTGAAGAACAGGAGCTTGGGAATGGCTAAATTGATCCCATATAAACCAACCCTTTGCCTAACTTGTAGACAATCTGAAACTTCAGATGAATCTTGAAGTAGACCTCAAATCCTTTTCATTCTCAGAAGATGAAATTTTATTGTATATGGTTTTGTTTGTTTGTTTGTTTCTTCATTCTCAGGTTAAAGAAAAGCTAGACCTTAGTGAGAGGTCTGGCGGCCAAAAGAGAACCAGGAAATCAGCCAGGTACAGTAGAACATACCTGGAATCCCAGCAGCCTGAGTGAGAGGCTGAATCAGGAGGATCATTGTTAGGTGCAGGGCCGGCTGAACTAAGTTGTCTGCAGGGTGGGCTGAATGAAAGTTAGCTGAAGGATAACCCAGGTAATTACCGTCCTCTGTCTGGTCCTTTATCACCTGTTTGCATCAAGTCTGAACACTCAACCCCACTCAAGGCTGAAACCCCACCCATCTGGTGCATCGGAAAACCCACATCTGTCCCTTGCCCCATCTGCCTAAAGGCAGAAGATGACACCCTTAGCAACTACTGTATGATCCAATCATTGTATGTCAGCAAGGCAGCTTGCAGACTCAGAGACCCCATTAGATTTTGGCTATAAGAACTCTCTCCTGCCAGGCCCCCCCTCTCTTTCTCTCTCTTGCTTTCACTCTCTCTCCCTTTACCCTCTGGTTCTTGCTCTCTCTTTCTTCTTTCTCTCTCTCTAACTCTCCTCCTCTTTCTCACTGCTGCAATAAAAATC